TGTTATTTGTGTCACATACAAACACCTCTATTCCCGCCTTTTCTCCAGGGACCCCGTGGCCAGGGTTCTGTGCAGCATTGAATGCCAACACCTTGTACTCATCAGATGGTCAATAAACATTTGTAGTATGATTTATGTCTGTACTGGACTCTTCCTTAGACTAGTTACAATGTTATAGTGTGAATTGAGTTTTGAATTTTACACCAGAGTCAACATAATAGTCTCTAATGCCTTTATCTTCTTCTGTCAAGACACACATCAGCATCTGCACTTCAGGGTTGGCTCCAAATCTCCCTGGGGCCTCACCGACATTTGAGCGGGGCTTCCCCATGCTTCACTGCCCTGGGCTGTGTGCTGGGCTGCAGGACCCTTGCCTGGGGTAAATCTCTGGACTCGCCCTCCCCCTGGGTTTGTCTTGAGAAAGATTGCTCAGATGTTTGAGGGTACAAAGAGGGGGTCCCCAATGCACTGGCAGGCCATGTGGATGACCTTTAACACTGTGCTGTCACTTCACAGTAAGAAATCTATCCTTGCCAGGTTTACTGGGAGGTCCCTAAGCTTCCTTTTCATCTTGGTCATAAACCCTTAATATACCTTCCAGTACTTTCTTTCTCTTCTAGATCAAAGATTATATACCTCTGGGGGAAAGAGAGCAGAAGCTTCTGTAACTTACCCTAAAATTAAAATCAAGACTGTGTCAAGCTCTTATGAACTAGAAACGCTCTGTGCCAAGCCCTGAAAGTCAAGTAACAAGAAGCTCCCTTTTGGTTAAGTATAATCACTAGTTTGGGTTCTCCGTGCACATTTTTGTCATCGATTTATCCCCTAATTAATTTTAACTCTGCAGAAGCAGAAGACAGGAATGCTGCTGGGTTGGAACTAATTATCCACCACTATCTTCACGAAGGAGAGTTCCTGATACAAACTGGTCTTTGAATAGCAGCAGGTGGGCTGTTCGTACAGGGACCTTTCCATGCAATGTTCTGGTTGGCAACCACAAGCTTCATTTTCACTCCCATGGAGGTCTGACTCCTAAATCATCATGCAAATCATTTCTGATGCTGGGTCTCAGAAAAACAACGCACAGCCAATGTAAGTTATAGGAATCCTGTACATGATACAGAGTGTTTACCTGAGTGTTTCGAGGATTTAAAATGATGCATGACATGTAATATCATGCCTTAATGTGCCTGTTGTTGGTGTGCTTTCCTTCTTCATGTAACGGAACTACACTTCAAATAAATAACCTCTATCACAGAAATGGAAGCAAATTAGCAAAGTTCACCCTTACAGGCAAGTTAAATCCTGGAAGGGACTATGCCTGCAATTAGGGATGCTACCACCAGGTGGTGCCCACCAACAAACCTTTGTCCCACAATGAGTGTCTAGCTTATCCCTCTGAATAATCAGCAAGCGATACATCCAAAATCCAGTTCTACTAAGCATTACATACAAATTAAGTGTGTTAACAGAGTCAGTTGAAATGGAAATATAGAAAGGAATTGAAAGACCTGATGCTACATACCTCCTTAGTTGTGTATCAATGATTAATACAAATCTGGGATTGTGTGGCTATTCATTCAACATGTAATTCATACAACAAATAATTACCAATTTACAGTGGTGTCCCAGGCCTCTGTTAAGATGGGGGACAGAGACGAGTCACATGTGTAACCCAGTCCAGAGTTTCTCCAGCTCTGTCAGGTGAGTCCTCATATAAATAGCCCAGAGTAACAATGCTCTAATCTCTATAGTCACATCTTACCTAAGAGTTAAGGGCAACAGAAAGGTAAAATTCACCTGGAGAGAAAATTACTCTTGAAAACCTTTTAAATTGAAGCTTTTCTGACCTGTCTATTGTCTGACTTCTAAAGTCTGACTTCTGTCAATTGGGTCTGAAAAGCTGTGGAGGAACAGTTTGCCAGCCTCTGGTCAGACTTGCTGCCTGCTCAGTGTCTGCCGAGGGGCCCTGCCTATGGCTTCATTGCAGCTGCAGCGAATCCTAAGAAGCTGTCACATTTCCTCCTTCAGGAGACCCAGTTCGCTGGCCCCTTCTCCCACCTTGTTCTTATTTCTGCTCTTTGTGTTCTCCTCTCAGATGGGGGGAAGAGGGGTAGTGTTTCCACTTACAAAATGAATATACGAGTGGCTAAACACAATTCTAACACGACTTTCCCAACATAACGCAGAATCAGAGTGTGTCCTTTGAATGCTACATCCACTTTATAATGAAGAGCCTGAGGGACAGAGGGCCTAAGTGTCTACCCTGATTCTCAGAAACAAGTCCCAGAGCCAGGATTTAAACCCGGGCAACTTGGCCAGGTGGCCTAGCTCCTACGTACATGTTCTTACCACCAGGGGCTGGCCAGGTGGGCTGCAGTGGTGGCCTTATACCCCACTGTTCCCTGTCATCATCTGACTCTGCTGTCTATCTGGGCTTGTCCCTGGTCTAATGGGTTCTATGAGCCTTTCTGTAAATTCTCTGTAGGTGAGGTGGCATGGAGTGGCGACATGGCTCATTCCTAGTCTCGAATGACAGAGGTTTCATCTCTGATACCTGGGATTGACCAAATGGAAAAAGATGGCCAGGTCAATATCTGAGCTCAATGGGAGGGTATGCTGGCAACTGGTGAGGTCTGTCCTCACCGGTGAGGTCTGCCTGGGTGATGATGCTGCCTGGGTGGAAGGTGTCTGCCTCGGTGGGTGCCATGAGAGAGCACATCTTACAGAGGGTCTAGAAGGCCCACATTCTTCCACCCAGTCCTGAATTGCTTGTGGGCAGGTGGAGCCCCACAGTGAGACCCACACTGTACTCTTCAGCCAGGGACATTGTTTGTGACTTAAGTGGTGGGTAGACTCCTGTCCTGGCCACTTGATGTGTCCCAAGGATGGGTCCTAAGCATCCCAAGGGCCCCACCATTCCACCCAGCACCCAGCTCAATTGTGAGGTGCAGGGCAACCTGCTGTTACCATGGGAGCAGTTTTCCAGTAGAGGAGGTTTTCTGAGAGGAGGGTGTGGAGGGCGGGAGGACACTTAGGCTAGCTGGGGCAGTAGAGAAAGTCAATAGAAGTGAAACTGGGACCCCAGGCAGACCCTGCCCCGAGAGGCCCCCAGGAGCCTGTGCAGGTGGGGTGGTAAGACCCTCCTCCATGAGCCCCTGGCTGCCCCTTCTCCAAGACTTTCAAGGACACGGGACTGAGCAGACACCAGTGGTTGGGCAGCAGCTGTGCCTCAGACAGTGCAGGCTCGGCCGTGCATCTGCGTGCAGCTTGGGGCTGGTGGCCAGCGCTCCCCTGCATCTCCAAGGGTGGGGTCACAGGCCCCAGATCATGCCGGTCATCCAGGCCTCAGTGGGCATTGCTATCCTGACAGCACTTGGTCACTGCTCTGTGGGAAAGGAGCCCACTGGGTAGGGGCTGGGAAGCCCACTGCCCCAAGTGGACAGGAGGGACACCGTGTCTGAGTGGCTCCCAACAAGCCCTCCCCCAAGGTGAGCCCCAGGCCCCAGTGGACCCTCCCAACGATTTGGAGAAAAGGGGAAGAAAATTCTTCTCCACCTGTACTTGTGAGTCAGCGATGGTGTTCGCAGGGTGCCCACTGGGATCAGCCAGCCTGTGCTCACAGCCTATGGAAACTGGGGGCACCATACTGTTTACATTGGCCAGGTTTAGTGTCAAGGTGCAGGGGATCTTGCTAGAGAAAACCAGGTTGCTGAACTCAGAAGGGCAGATGAGCGCTGAGGCAGAGCCTACCCGGAGGGGCTGGGGCTCCGTAGGCGCTGTGTGAACCAGACAACATCAGGCCGCGTGCAAACTGCTGCAAACTGGAATCTCTACAGACTTAAGTTCAGATCTGTCTCTTTTTGCTACGGGCCACCTCCTGACAAACCCAACCTCAGTCAAAAACATTGGAAGTTGAAAAGTCATGGAAGGCACCCAACCTACAAAACTCCATGGCTCTGCCTGGCCAAACTCCAGTCACTAAAGGCACACGTGAGCCTGTGCTGAGTGGGTCATCTCCCACCAGCCCCTTCCGTTAACAGCAGACCCAGACCACCCTTCCAGAGGGGTGATGTGGGTGGAGGGGGTTTGCACATTTTGGAGGCTTCATGAACAGGATTTTCAGGGTTTGAACATGGGGAGAGAGGGAGAGAGGAGTCCAGGGTGAGCCAGGATACTGGCCTGAGTAGCGGAAGAATAGTTTCCACATGCTAACAGAGAAGATTCTGGAACATCGGGTGCTGCAGTGTTATGTGACCATGTCTCAGCCCAGCTGTCCCCATGTCTGTCTCTTCTCCCAGCAAACTGAAGGTAGTTACTGTGCCCTGGCGTGCGTCCACCTGTCTCCAACAAGACTGAGCACATGGGGGAGCACGGCCTCCTGCTTGCTGAGGTGGAAAGCCCTGAGGGCTCCCGTCAGAGCCAGGGGCCCACAATCCGGGCCAGAACCAGAGGGACCTGTAGCTGGTGCTTCCTAGAGCCTCCAGGGTGTGGGGCTGCACCTTGAGTGCCCTCTGGGCATCCTGAAGTTCTTTCCCGGGCTCTGGCAGCTGGTGGGACAGTGGGTGGCAGACCCGTGTCCCCCTGAAGATGGGGAGTTGCCCCCCACCTGACTGGCAGAGCAAATCCAGAGGGTCCCAGATTTGTGTTCAATTTGCAGAAAGTAAAAAAGGACAGGAGGAAGGGGAGAGTCACAGAATGTCATGGGTTCATAGAGCCACTCTACACCCCTGGGAACTTTTGTGGGTGCTGTAAATCACAGCTTGGGTATCTGCACACTTTATACCCTGTCGATCTTCCACCAGCACAGGAGCTATGAAATCCACCGAGAAAGCATGGTGGCTCCCACAGAGCAGCCTTCATGTGGGTGGCCGTACCACACCCACCACCTCCCGACAGTGGAGGATGCTGGGAAGGCTGGGGTCCCTCCAAGGTCAGGGGTATCAAGCCCAAGGGCCCAGCTCCAGGCAGCCTTGAGGGACAGAGGGGTGCCAACTCACCTTGATGACATCTTCATCTGACGACCTGCACTCCACTGCCCTCGGCAGGTCGGTCACTGTGCCATCCTCCTCCACCGACACCACCTTCACCGGCACAGCCACCGTCTTCCCCGTGAGGATGGCCGTGTTCAGGATTTCTGCCTCCTGAAATACAAACACAACCTCATCACAAACTGTTCAGCAAACAGGGTTTGAGGGACCTATGGAGCCAGAGTACTTCTGAGTGCGTCTGGAAAGGCAAGCTTTAGGGTTTGTCTGCTCCTGCTCCTCTTACTTCAGAGCATCCATTTCCTTGGGAACTTCCCTTCTCCTGTGGGCTGGAGGTTGCAGTAATCCATGCCCTCCCAGCCAGGATGGCAGGTGTCTGGAAAGCTGCCTGGCAGATTGTTCCTGTGACCTACAAGGCTGTGTGTGACAGATGAGTAAGTAGAAGATGGTGGGGCCTGGTTCCCTGAGTCACTGTGTGGAGAGGAGCGTTCTATCAACCTCACAGGACAGGCAGCAGCAGGAGACATGAGGTGATGAGGTCCTGGGCTACTTATTACCGCAATCTAAGCTGATTTTTCTAATACACAGCATTACTCCCTAATTCCAAACAGTATTCACTGAATTCCAGATTACACCCCAAGTGGAACCAGACTGCTCAAGTGTGAAAGCCTGCCATTTCCTATATGTACTCTCTGGCTGGCCTGCCTTCTCCTGGTGGGGGCCCAGGCTGCTGCTGCACGGGGTTTGGCAGGCCCAGCCCAAGTCAGTGTGGAGGCCTCCCCTGGCCTTTCCTCAGTGTGACTCCCAACGGTGGCTGATTTCTCAAATCACTTCCTTTCATTTCCCAGCAAAGCTCAGCCGCCTCACAAACAGAATAATGGCTCATCACCCTTCCTTCTCTGTGGTTGTTTGGCCAAGCTCCGCTCTGCCAGCCCCTCCCCTGCACTGCAAGGGCCTTATTTATGCTGCCTGCGACAGGAAAGCTGAGCCAGGCAAAGACCAGAGAAGTCCTACATCTCATTAGCCGTAATGTGGCATCCCCATACATAGCCTGAGAGTGTCTTCTTGCAAGCGGGCACAGTCGGCCCAGCCAACATGGGGGAGGTCAGCACACCTGAACCCACTGCTCTGCCGGGCGGTGAGCAGGTCCACAGAGCTCACCATACATGGCAGGTGAGGGCGTGGCGGCCGAATCTCTGGTAAGGCAGCTGTGTCTTAAAAAACGGATTTACTTTATTGTGGCGACACTGGCTTGCCACACTGATGTGATTCAGGGGTGCAGATCCAGGTTGTGTTGTGTGAAGGGGGATTAGAGCCTCTTAGCTGCAGTACCCAGAGAAATGGACTCATTCTTCCACGGGGGCGGCAGGCCGCTCAATGTCACACCTCAAACCCTCTTGACAAGGTAGGAGCCTCCCGCCTCCACCAGGAGGCTGCTCCCAAGCCCACGGGCACAAGTGGAATGCGGGGTGCTGCCCCCTCTCATGTGGGGCTAAAATAGCTGTGGTCACACAGCCTTGTTATAAATACATTTGTGAACAGGATTCCCACAAAATGCCACAGGGGCCGTCTCCCTGCTCTGCCCCTCTGTGCTCCTCTGGGCAGGTCACCTGGACTGGGCGAGCTGGGCTGGACAGTGTGCAGGTCCACAGAGCTCACCACACATGGCAGGCGAGGGCGTGGCGGCCGAATATCTCGTAAGGCAGCCGTGTCTTAAAAAACGGATTTACTTTATTGTGGCGACACTGGCTTGCCACACTGATGTAATTCAGGGGTGCAGATCCAGACCTCACGCATACGGTCCTCCAGGTGCCTCCAGGGCTTGCTTGAGTTCTGTCTGCTCCTGTGTCTCGTTTCTTTATCCTCCACACCTGAGTGAGCTGACGTGGCATTTCCTTTTCTGACTCATCTTGCTCAGCAGTTCTCCTCTGCCTCCCACGTGGTGCTGGCGACACCTCATCTTTTCTAGAGCTGTGTAGTATTCCACGGCAGACACACATCTTCCTTACCCACTGGGGAAAGTGAAATCTCCTCCCTCACTCACCTACTCTTCAGTAGTCTCAGCAACAGCAATGTTGTATGCATGCAATGACTAAGGTGAATCAGGCCAATCAACAAAAGGAAAAAGAGGGAGGAGCAGGAGAGGAGACGGGGAGGACGGTGACTCGCTCAGCCCCCAGGGTGGTGCAGGTACAGATGCAGGACCTGCCAGTGCTCCCCTCCCGGCTCCTGAGGGCTGCAGAGCCTCAGGGGGGCTCCCCTGTCTGCAGCAGCAGCACCACACCTGGCTGAGGATGAGCAACCCGGTGGTGTCACAGTGCTGACATCTACCTGGCCTGGGGGTGAGGGCGGTGACCTGGTGAACCCCACCCGCCTGATCAAAGCCAGGCAGCCCCAGCCCCTAAGTGTGGCCCACTTGAAACACAGACCTAGCTTTGCATGTTTGCTGAATTTCCTTGAGCTGAGAGTTAACATGTGCACATGAAATCTGATTGTCACACTTGGCTCGAGACTCGAAAAGATCTCTGAGGAGTCGGAGCAAAGCGCGTTAACAGGCGGCTCTGATGGGGGACAGCCATGCCCAGGTGATGGTCGTCTCCGACAGAACCTCTTTTGGACAACGGGGGGTCTGCCTAGTGGTCAGTGCCCCCCGGGAGGCCAGGGTTTCCTAGGCCCCGTTTTCCTCTCTGGGTTACCCTGCACCCTGCAGTTGGGAATAGCCCCATTTACTCCACACCATGAAGAAATCTCCCACTATCATGAAAGCACACCCTAGTTTTGCATAACTAATTTCCAATCTTATCTAGCATCAAGTTCCAGAATTAAGAAGCTAAGTGACAGCTGTTTAATTAACTCCTTAAGCTGATTAGGCAGCTTTACTGAAATCCCCTCCGGGAGAGACGCAGGCCTGTGGGGGACCCAGGCCTGATACTGCCTTGCTGCTGTCTAAATTCCAGAAGTCATTTGGCCAATCCTCCAGGTGTTCTCGACACCCAGAGGACGTGGTCAAGTATGGATTTTATTAACGATGTGACTTGGAGTAGGAGATGCCAACTGAGCAAAATGGCAAAGGCTTTGGGCACCCCTGCCAGCAGGCGCCCCCACCTGCAGCAGCCAGGGCTGGATGGACTCGGCCCAGACTAGCTGTGCCCCTCACAGTGGACGCCATCAGACAAAGGCAGATTAGCCAGTTGAAGGCTTTAAGCCAATCTCACTCTAAACTTGGTGTTTTGAAAGCGAAATTTCCAAGGACGCAAGGAAAGCACCATGTTCCCCGTTTCCACTGGAAGCTGTGGCTGGATGTCCCCGACACCAGCTCCCGGGAGAGGGGCGAAGTGTCTGGCAACCGAGGGCTGCTGGGAGGCAGGCTGGGTGGACACGAGGCAGGCGCCCCGAGGCAAAGCAGAGGATGTGCTGACCTAGATTTTTCAGAAGTAGGACGTTGCTTTCGGGGGGCTGTTCCCAGTGGCCCCGGGGGAGGGTGTACTCCCCAGTTTTATAGGTTGTTGAGTTTTCTGAAAGGGCTGCCCCCGGCCTGTGGCTTCGCGGGGCGGCGGCCATGTGCATGACCAGTGAGAAGCCATAGCATGGCCCACGTGTGCACAGTATGGCGTGGGCGTGCTTTGAGCACACTCAGTGCTAGGTGCACCCGTGAACTCCGTGTACCCTGGAACATTCCTATCGCCTGTAAAGAGCAAGTCTGGCGGCATCTCCCTCCTGCCTCTCACCCCTTCCTGTCCACGCATTCCTTGGCCCCCGAGTGGCCTTGTGTGGCTGGCCGCAGCCCCAGGAGCATCGAGGCCCCACCCCGGACCCAGCCGTGCCTTGTTCTGCCCACGCTGAATCATGTCCATCCACCCACCACACGCAGTTTGGGGGCTGCAGTTGTGCAGAGTCAATTCTTCCTCTGCTGTTCAAATCAGAGTTTGTAGACCAGGGTTCTGGACCCTGTCCAGCCCATGGAGAGGTCTTGGCAGAACTGCAGAGACCAAATCCTTTTCAGTTGAACACAGGACCTGAAAACTGAGAGGGCCAGAAAGCTGCATTTCTGGTGTTTCTTGAAAAAAATCAGATCTAGATTCTCCCTCAGTGGGCTTGGAGCGGTGACCTCTCTCTATTTCAGGGTCCATCGCTTCACATCACATGTCCGGCAGCCTCAGGACCCCTCTCTTAGAAGCTTCCAGAGCCGGATCTGAACCCTGCTGAGTCCAACTGCTCAAATGGGTCAAAAACACCCAGGACACAGGGCAAGCCGGCTTCATTCACAATGTTGCTCTCAGATGCCCTGGGCCCGAAGTGCCAGGTCCAGTGAGACCCCTCTCCTGGTGAGAAGAGCCGGACAGTCAGAGCAACCTGCTCACACACACGCCCAGTCCAGGGGATGCGGGTTTTCATAAGAAACTTTACTCTCTGAGCTTCGTTTACAGTCTCCCAACAACAGTTCCATGAAACTCGGCATGAATATTTAATTTATGTCTGTTGATATCATAAAGTATTTGCTCTTTGAAAGCAGGGAGTCCTTGCCTGTAGCCTTTAACTAAAGTGTCTGTCAGCCCTTTCTCTGTCACTGCAGGAAAATGCATGTCAAATTGTCAAAGCAAGACTTCTCGGAGGCCATGAGAAGCCTGTGGGTTTGACGGTACACGGGACTTAGGAATTAATTCCGTCTGTACGGAAAGGACATACAGAATTAAGGAACATCAAAGCACAGCTCGCACGCCGTCAGATGAGCCGGGTGGACGGAGAGGCTGCGTGTAACAGCAGCCCGGGAGACCGGCCCAGCCAGCAGGAGGGGAGTTATTCTGACCTGCAAGCCTCGGGGGTTTCAGCCAGACTCACTGGTGGGGCTGGGAGCCAGGCCTTGATTATCCCTGCTAATGAAGACTCCGTGGTGTGGTTAATCCCAAACAGTGCTAAGTCCAAAGCCATCTGTAGCTGGGCCCTGGGCGCTCCTGCGCTCTCCTTTCTTCCACTGGAGGACTTCTTAATTACGTTTTTCTTAGGCTAATGTAAAAAGGAATTTGCGTGTCTTCAGTCTACACTAATTAGTGTGATGGGGATGCGGTTAAGATTATTCTGGAAGGCAGGACGTCTGGGACATGACCGGTGGCGCCCCGGGCTGTGCAGGGCTGGGCGGTGCAGGACGCTGTCCTTTG